TGCCAAGCTGATAAGTAGGGTGAACATTCTTTCCAATGTATCATTTTTGAGGTTGATGGGCAAACGTCAGGCAGGCTATTTTGGTCCTAGCAAGTGAACATACTGCAGAAAGTATCATTTTCGAGGTCTGTGGTCGAATGCAGACACTCTCTTCACACCATAAAATAAAGTGACAACTACGCAAGCACCGTGGTGCTTATGTTTCAGGCTCCCCATACATGAAACCTCGAGCAATTTTCTAACGGAATTTTGCATTAAAAAATACTTAACAGCTATTTGCAGAATAACCTGACTTTAAAAATTACAACTGATAAACATGAGGATGCGTATGGCGAGAAAAACAATGTTTCACTGCTCTTGTAGATTCATTTATTCAGATTTCGAGGTACCCTTGGTAACCGTGCCAAGGTGTTTGTTCATTTAGAAAGGCAGGTAGGACTGTCTTTAGAGGTCCTACGTGCATTTGACTTATAATAAAAACCCACTTTTACATTTTGCAGTAGCCCGATTTTCTCTTTTTTCGTTAAATTCCGCCAGTTTAAGTTTGTATTTACCCCAATATGCATCAGTTGTCTGAGCAACAGGAGTTTATGTTGATGGAGTTGATCCTATTTAGCTCATTAAAACTACTATATGTCGCTTTAATTTAATCTTCTTTGGTCACTTTAGACACAATAACATATTCATGTACACCCGTTAACCAAGAATTAAATGTTTAACCACCAATTCCATTAGACAGTTGGGCAGGGATAATATATATTTAGGCGGCCCTACAAGAAAGTCTTGCCGAAAGGCAATTATTTGATTCCGAGTTTACAAAACGCTTACTTCTTGTAATATTTGCTGCTGGAAATAGCGCTTGGCCGACGTAGTTTGTTATCAGTAAAACTTATCTACTCCCGCTAATTTACCTTGTCTGCCTTTCATCCTCTGTTTTGCCTTGACGCGTTCCTAAATTGCCATCACCTAACGCTTCATCACCTTCCCCAACCCAGCTGCGAGGGCGAGTGCGACCCTATCAGGTGAATCTGTGCTGGCTGTTGCCTGATGATGACGGTGGCCTGCCCGTCCAGTCCTACCGTCTGGAGGTTCAACTCGCTCACCTACCTCCCTCTGAATTGCTTTGTCAGTTTGGGGCAACTCACTACGCCACTGATGCCTCCTCCGCCGCCACCAATGCCCCAGCAGATACGGAGCTGGGACAGGCAACTCAAGTCCCCATTTGTTGGCCATGGGTAATCGGTAAGAGCCTATCTGCTCGCTTCGTGTACTTTTCTTAACGCATTTGCCTCCCTCA